GGCGGGCGGGCGGGCGGGCGGGCGTGGGTGGGTGGGTGGGTGGGTGGGTGGGTGGGTGGGTGGGTGTGTGTGTGTGGGTGCGTGTGTGGGTGGGTGGGTGTGTATGTGTGTGTGGGTGTGTGTGTGTGTGTGGGTGTGGGTGTGTGTGTGTGTGTGGGGGTGTGGGGGTGTGCGCCTGCGCATGTGTGTGTGTGTGTGTGTGTCTGTGTGTGTGTGCGCGCATGCGCGTGTAAGCGTGTTCAGGTGTGCGCGTGTGCGCGTGTGCCCCTGCATGCTGCTTGCGTCCTTATGCGCGCGTGCGTGTGCGTGGGCGTGGGCGTGGCGTGGGCGTGGGCGTGGGCATGGGCGTGCGCATGTGTGTGTGTGTGTGGGCGCGTCCGCGTTGGAAAGCTTGTGCGTGCGCTTGCGCGTGTGCACACGTGTGGGTGTGGGTGCCGGCACCTGCACGCGTGCGACCATGCGCGCTGGTGAGGGCCTGTCCGAGCGCGTGTGCGTGTGCGCGTGTGCGCATGGGCGCGTGGGCTCGTGGGCACGTGGGCTCGTGGGCGCGCGGCACGTGGGCGCGCGCAGGCGTGCGCGCGTGCTCGTGTGGGCGGGTGGGGGCATGTGTGCGCATGCACGCATGGGCGTGTGGGCGCGGGTGCGTCGCTTGTTATCTTTCTGTGTGTGTGTGTGTGTGTGTGTGTGTGTGTGTGTGTGTGTGTGTGTGTGTGTGTGTGTGTGTGTGTGTGTGTGTGTGTGTGTGTGTGTGTGTGTGTGTGTGTGTGTGTGTGTGTGTGTGTGTGTGTGTGTGTGTGTGTGTGTGTGTGTGTGTGTGTGTGTGTGTGTGTGTGTGTGTGTGTGTGTGTGTGTGTGTGTGTGTGTGTGTGTGTGTGTGTGTGTGTGTGTGTGTGTGTGTGTGTGTGTGTGTGTGTGTGTGTGTGTGTGTGTGTGTGTGTGTGTGTGTGTGTGTGTGTGTGTGTGTGTGTGTGTGTGTGTGTGTGTGTGTGTGTGTGTGTGTGTGTGTGTGTGTGTGTGTGTGTGTGTGTGTGTGTGTGTGTGTGTGTGTGTGTGTGTGTGTGTGTGTGTGTGTGTGTGTGTGTGTGTGTGTGTGTGTGTGTGTGTGTGTGTGTGTGTGTGTGTGTGTGTGTGTGTGTGTGTGTGTGTGTGTGTGTGTGTGTGTGTGTGTGTGTGTGTGTGTGTGTGTGTGTGTGTGTGTGTGTGTGTGTGTGCGTGTGTGCGTGCGTGCGTGCGTGTGGTGTGTGAAAAGAGGCACGCACTCACATCACGGCGCACATCCCCGCCTCTGCCTTTTCAGGAAAAGGCCCTGTATGCTGCCCAAGTACTTGCCGCACACCTCAGCTACGGTGGGCAAAGCCGCACGAACCAAAAGCTTTTGCTACCTGCCAATCAATCTGAACCACGCATCTCCGGCAAGGTAAGTTTAAGCGTCAGCCGTCAGAGGGCTGCGCATAAACAGGCCGAGGAAAGCAAGGCTTGAAGCACATCTGGATGGCCAACCTGAGATGCCCATGGGCTGGAAGCGCGAAGTGAACCACAAAAGCAACCGCGGCCCAATGCCTTTGGGCCGCCAGTTGGTGAAAATGCCCAGGAAGAAGCCCGTCCCTGGTAGCAGAATCATCCGGCCTGCGCATCCCGCCACGGGTCAGGCACCACGCGTACGTAGCTTGGTGCGCACTTGGGAAGCCCTTACGAAGTTGCCCCAAGTCTTGGAAAATGGTAGACTGTCCAAGCACCAGGACCCAGGGAAATGAAGCGCAGCCGCCAAATCCATGGGTGCTCCCTTGAACATCTTGAAACGGAGCATACTCAAAGTGATGCTGCCATGGCTGGGTCAATGCCCTTCCACCCCCCTTTGACACAGCCCCCCTTCGACCCTGCCTTTTGCATCCAAGTGATTGAAGGCAAACAGCCTGGGCGAAAATTGGGCCAAGGCCTTGGCTGTTTTGTTAAATGGAATATATCCACACCAAGCAGGATGGTTCATTCCTGCTTTGAGCGGGCATCATGCGTGGTCCAAAATCAAATACCGTGACGGTGCATGCCTCATTTACCAGCACAGTAAGAGCAGAAGGTCCAAGCGAACTTTGCCCGACTTGACCTTTGCCGTCGCAACTTGCCCTTTGGCTGAATTTTTGAGTATTAGAGGCTTATCAGAAGCCGCAATTAAAGCTACTTCTTCTGAAGCAAACCAGGTTTTTTGGCCCAGCTCCAATTGGAGCTCTCAATGGAAGCGAGGTTGCATGTATTCCGGACAATCCTCGTTCAAATGCAATGGTTGCACCCTCTCCGAAGCTGGGCGCTCTGCTGATTTCTTTCCAGAATCTCTTCATCCAAGGCAGTCCCCCATTTTGATACACGGTGAGATGATGGCAAAGCATAGCAAACCATTGAACATCATGAGGGTATGGGTCAAAATTAAACCACCAGGGGACCGCAGGTTTTGGTCCAGGTGTCCATTTCCAGGATGCCATGTTGGGTACATATTTTGACCCACAGCCATGAAGCCCGGGCAAAACCTGAGCCGGGCGCTTCTTGCCAGGGCCGCCAAAAAGCGAAACAAAGCAGTATACAGTCACGTCTATGTGAGTGCATATTTATATATATATGATATATATATATATATATATGACATATATATATATATATGTATATTATTGATATGTATAATGTATGGATATTGTGCTTTGGATATTGTGCTTCTTTCCCAAGTGCGAGTACGATGCCAGCTCACAGTCTCGGGATCTGCTTGGTGCTACGCCGAGGCGCTGGACGCAGCCGCAGATGAAGCCCAAGGCGGCCCCGCATCCTGGGCTCCGCGGATTCGACGCGAGCGCCGCTCTGGAACAGGTATCCCTGGTATCCCTAGATCCACGTAGATCCCTGTATCACATTTCTGCTAAAGCAAAAAGCTCGCAAAAGCTGGAAGAGATTCTTGGAAAATCATTCCAAAGTTTCGGGCCTTTGTAAAGCGGGTTGTTGCGCTATCCCCACCTCCCAGATTTTTCTGAGAATTCTCCCAGGGCCAAGCCTTCAACTTCAGGAAAAGTATGATTAGGGCGCAACCGAAGTGTTTGATATCAACAAGGCATCGAAGGCCTGCAAGCGCCTCGCTGGAACAGCAAACGACTACTAGGGAGCATCATGGTGTTTAAGTATTATGCACAAATGTTGCCTTGGTGGATCCAGCAATGGTTTCCGTATTACCAACATAACACTAAATATAAAATAATGAACAATGGAACTGGACTTGATCATGGTACCAGCACAAACATGAATACATGCGGACCCGCCGAAAATATCGACAAACCTCCCCCCTTGGGCGCACACTCTCGATGAAGCGGAACTCCTTCTCGCCCAAGGAGAGGAAGAAATGATTCAACAGCTCCTGCAGGGGGTCAGCTACCAAGCTCCAGTTTGAGCATGATACAACTATGCGCCAACAATATCCAAGTGGCTCGCTCGCAAAGGGGTGCGCAACTTTGTTTGTAAGACCTTTTTAGAGGTCGAGCGCAAGCCGGGTTCTCCCTCTCTCTCTTTCTCTCGCTTTCTCTTTCTTTCTCTCTCTGTCTCTCTCTGTGTCTCTCCCTCTCTCTCTCTGTCTCTCTCTGTGTCTCTCCCTCTCTCTCTCGCCCTCGCACATGGTGCCTTGTTCGAGGTGAAAACCTTGACGATCATGCCATCGTTGTCCAGACCTGCCGGCAAAATCGCGCCGCAGCACGAGCACAACACACTGACGATCAAATGGTCAATTAAAACAGAAAGCCATCAAAACTATCAACAGTAACAACATCTCTGAATATACGTACAAAGGATACATATATGTATATGGTACGCCCTGAAGCGATCAGGGTATTCATCACAAAATCACATTTACACTGGTAAAATGCAGGGGGAATGCACTCTTCCCTGATTGAATTGTTGTTGGCTAACTACCATTCTTTCTACCCCAATCCCTGCATCTTGAGTTCTATGCGGGTCAAGAACACTAGCGCTAACATGCGCTAAGTGCCAAGATGCGCCTAGTGCCGAAATGTGCTAGCACATCTCGGCACTTTTTGCTACTGAAAGGTCATGCTTGTTAGTTCTGAAACCGGCCGAAAATTATTCTGGCCTGGAGCATTGAAATCAAGATTCAAGAATAAAGTCTGAGAACCCGCAAACTTGAGCCCGGACCATGGCCACCCGCCATTGCAAGGGAGCTTTGGCCTTGAGCAATCTTCGCGCTTCCTGAAAAGACGGCCTTCAAACCTGAAGCGTTCTTTTGCAACATAAACGCTGCAGGCCTCATGTCCACACGCACACACACACACACACACACACATCTGAGGCCAGAATCATCCATAGCAGCTGCGTTTGCAAATTATAGGCGGCATCAAGATAGTGTCCCGCCATGGGAGCTGTACATGAACTTGAAGTGGATGCATAGCGCTTGAGAACAAGCCGTCCTTGAAATACCCTCCCACCCCCGTTCAACTGGAATTTAAACATGTGCATTGCTTAGACATGTCTGCGGTAGAAACGGATGCAGCTCAGAAATAATATTAGCACATAATGAGGAAAGATTACTTGCAAAATGTTTCAGCTTGTCCCTCATGCACAGAGTCTTGAAGTTGAGGACAACTCCTGCAACTGGCTAGGGGATACCTGTTGAAAAGAGGTTGCATAATATGAAGAGGCTTGGTGAATTTGCCGGAGAATGCGCTGCGAAACATCAGCAAATGCCCGCAATGTCGCCCGAAAAGGAACGCTGCATCATGCCCCAAATCCCAAACGCACAAACAATTGCAGCGTTTCAACTTGCACAAATGAGTCTCAGTTTTCTGAATCCAACCATGTTCAAGTGTTATGCCATTTGTTGCAAGGATGTAAAAGAGCCGTGAGCCAGGACTCTTCCAGAGAATCTTGGTTTTCCAGAATGCCCAATCAGAATGCTTTAAAGTGCTTTCAAGCTTTCGCGGGACCAAGAAGCAAGAACCAAGATTGTTCCCAGCAAGTCTTGGTCTGCACATGTCTTTTGTCTGAGGTCCGTCAAATATATAGATATATATATATATGTATACATAATAATAATACTAATAATAATAATAAAAATAAAAAATAAAATAATAATAATAATAATAATAATAGTAATAATAGTAATAATAATAATCATAATAAAAATACTAATACTAATAAGAATAATAATAATAATAATAATAATAATAATAATAATAATAATAATAATAATAATAATAAAATAATAATAATAATAAAATAAATAATAATAATAAATAATAATAATAATAAGAATAAGAATAAGAATAATAATAATAATAAATGATAATAATAATACTAATAAATAATAATAATAATAATAATAATAATAATAATAATAATAATAATAATAATAATAATAATAATAACAATAATAATAATAATCGCGTCCCTGGCTCAGGCCTCGCTCCGCGTCGCAGAGCAAATCCACAATCTTCGCCCACATCTCTGGAAAGGTTTCCTGACACAATGATCCTGCATCGCCCTCCTCCCGCCTCAGCTTTCCACGAGCGATCCGCCTCTACCTGCTCCATGGCCAAGACCACCAACTCCTCCTCGACACGGCTGGGCAGTGAGCCGTCCACCTCACTGGCACAGGTGACGCGCTATGGCCGAGACTCGGGGGATGGTGGTTCCCAGAGCAGGAAAGGGGTGATGAGTGCACTTCGTTGTAGCCACATCCTTGGGATTCTTTGGGCCGTTGCAGGGTCCAAAAACCAACCACTGCCCCTCCGCCCAGCTCAGCCGCCCCAGGCGCCGGCAAGGATGGCAGGGAAGTGGCGCCGGGAGACACTGTTGATGGTTGCCTCAGGTGGGCAAGCTATTTGGCCAAAACAAGAATTGGGGGCCTTTTTCAGCAGCATCCCGGGTTTCGACGCGTGGGACCAAAGATGAAACAAGCCAAAAAGCCAAAGATTCTGGAGACTAAGAGCCCTGCTCGAACGACCCGCTCGAGCATCGGATGCATCTGTCATGAGCATCGGATGCATCTGTGAGGGGTACCGGCAATGAATCCCCCTTCCAGCCTTGGCAAACAGCACCGTGGTGTCTACGCGCTTGAACCAGTCTCGTGGTCCCATCAGGTATGGCCTGAGAGTCAGCGGCAAACATTTGCGGCATGTCCCTTCGCTCCAGCCATCCGCGAGCACAGAACCTGCCCACTGCCGAAACCGGGCCCGCCTCGCGCACTGGAACGCCATCTTGGCCATCTTCATGCACTTCCTGCAGGCCGAGAGCGCTTGGAGATCGCATTGGCAGACTGTTCAACTCGGGGGCAACCCCTCATGAAAAACCGTCCAAAGCCCAGGCGATCATCAAACTTATCGCCCCAAGGCTTTCGGGGACGGAACTGGCAAACAGCCACCAACTTGAGCAACATTTCTTGAGAGAAGACTTCAAGTATTGAGGCAGGGGCATCCCCGGCTTCTACTCGAATGTTGCCTATCTGCTGACGGCCAGCAGAAGAATCTGTCAGTCCGGCCTGGGGACGACGCCCTGCCAGCCAACACCAACACCTGTATCCTTGTACCTGACACGTGCATTGGCGAAACCTGGAAAGCTCCGCAGGAGTTCATCATTCCCCGAACTAGATTCCTGGCAAAGGGGGGAAAGGAATTTAACTCTCATCATTGAAGTTGGTCGGCCGCAATTTGAGCGGCGGCAAACCGTTGGTCCATCTTTGGAGTCCTGTTGCCACTGCCTGTAACTGTAAGCCCGAGCAATTGCTCGGGGTCAGCCACAATGTCTGTGGAGTGTGACAAGCGTGCCTCTTACAATCTTTCAATGACATGCCCTTGCAGGCTTCCCTCTCACATAGTGCTCGTGCAAAGCAGCGGCTCACTGCCAAACGCCGATGAAATGCAGAGGCAAGAACCTGGCGAAGATGCAATGCATGGCCAAGATCGAGGGTGCTTTATCCAGCTGTATCCTTCAGGAGTCTGGGCTCTCACTTGTCTCGCAACCGCCGCGCTTTGCTCAAAGCGAGAACGAGGCTTACAAGGCGCTTCGTGACATGCGCTGCAAATCGACCACTTACACTGCAAAGCTGGGCGGCCCGCATCATCTGAATGGCAAGCCAAATGTGAAACCTGAGCAGCCGATCCATCCAAAGAACTGCCGGGGGCTGTGCACAGTCAAGAAACCACACAGTCGCCAGGCCCCGGCCAGGTAAAGAAAAGCGCCACCACTGGAATGGAGACTTGCACAGCAAGATGGTACGCCTGGCAGCAGCTGAAGCAAGGCAGAGTCTGCCCATGACTTTCAACCTCTCATGGCCTGAAATCACTGCAGGAATCAATTGCCCCATTGAAGCTGTTCGACCACATCCAACAATCGATGCTTCATCATCTAACTGTGCCTAATGAACGGCATGAGCTGCAAGGACACCTTCTGTTGCGGTTGTGAAGCGTGCAGAGACGCGCCCCCATCACCAGGCATCCGGGAAACCCGTGAAAGCAAACCTGCCCTGGCACCTCCGCCTGCTGGTCCGGTGGCAGCTGGTCATAGTACCAGGCCCAAACGAGCAGACCTGAAAAGAGGAAGAACACGATTGCCAGCACGTTCCTCAGCCACGCAGCTCACCCCAAAAGAAGCTGCAACTGGGAATCAGACAAATAAGCGCTTGCAAATGCAGGAGCAATATGGGTCGCATGCTGGAAAATACTAGCACATGTCCCCACCATGCGTTTGGGCGACTCCACCTCGGAGCTATTCAAATCACCTCTACCTCGGCAGCTTGGACCCAGGCATCTGGAAGTTCACAGCTTTCACGTGCCTCTCGATTCCTTCCAAGGCCTCGCCAAGCTCGTGGGAGCCCAACTCAGGGCCCGAACTTGTGGGATTCTACTAGAAAAGCAAACCCATGGGCACATCACACCCAGTGAGCTCAAAGCCCCCGCAAAACACCCAGAGCACCAGCTCTAAGCCGCTGGCCGCGTCGTGGCGCTCTTGCTGCCGCGACTTGACCGGACTCGGTGCGCAATCCTCATCCTAAGCAAACTGTGCTTTGGACTCAAGAGGTTGAAAACCAAAGCTGCCCCTCCACAGGCCAAATCCAGAAATAGTTGAAACAAAACCCCACAGCGTTGTTTTGTTGCAAAACAAAGCCGAGATGTGGGTCATCCAAATACAAAAGAAACATTGCATTTTTCCGCCAGTGGCAGATCTGGCCCTCCAGACACTCTCTGCTCAAAAGCAAAACACCGCTTCAGCTCTTTGCTCGATAGTCACGCATCCTCAAGTGATGAGTGGTATACTTCGTTGCGTGGTTCGGAGCGACTGTGACGGCAGCCACGTTCGATGGTCAAGCTCTATCAAGTGGGGTGGTGGGACCAAAAGAAGTGGGTATGATGATTTTGTGACGGCTCTTGTAATGCCTGTCCTGAAGCGCCATGTATGGCTCCAGCGTCGCGCCTGCATAAGCTTTGCGTTAAAGACTCCGTTGGTCTCACCCTCACTTTTACCCCGCTCACTTGTTGAACGGGTCTGCTATGTGACTCCTCATCGGCAAGGCATTTACAATAGATAGGTTCTGAAAAGGTCTGCTGCCACCAATCTTCACATATATTGCGACTCTGGCAATCAAAGAATGCACGTCTGAATCAGAAAACCTGTGGCGCACCTTGCCGCTGTAACATATAGGCATGTCTAAGCGGTTGTTTGCTACAAGCATCCCCGAACAACCACAAGCAGGTTGTCCATACCACCACCCATGCTTTGTGACGCATCGGCTTCTGTCTGATTTATGGGTCACGCATGAGCATGTGAGCTGACGATGTAGAACTCGAAGCAAAAAAGAAGCATCCCTTTGGTTGAAGGGTCGCCCGCCATGACTTGTTGGGGCCTGGTTGGAACCTACAACCTTTCAGTGCTCGGCTATGAACACACCATGCCAAAATATACGCAAGCCCTGCAACGATGCCCTCCCGTGTTGCTAATATTTCAGTCACTCTGCAATCAGTCTTCTGCAAAATCCAAGTCTGCCTGCTATAATTCCTTTCACCGCCCCCTCCTTTCCAGCGCAGTTGTGCCTGCCGGTCCGTTGTCAGACCCAGCCCACGGGGTATCCCCTGGTCCTCCTGCCAAGCAGGCACCGCCCAAGGTGAGGTGTGTCCCTCCACGTTGTGACGAGAAGACTTCCCTGGAACCATGACGGGAACCACTTAGACACTTTGCCCCCTCTCCTGTCTTGACCTGGAAATGCGGCAGCAACGGCTGCCGCTTGTCAATGTCCATGGCTCTCCCTCACTGCCCAAGCAAGCTTGCTATGCTCTGCTAATACTGCTGCTGAGCTCAAAGTCCTTTTGGCTTCAGTGTCTTAACGTTCAGCTGGACGGTGACTGCAACATGTCAGCTGATGCTAAGGACTGCCATGCCATCCGTCTCCTTGACTTTGTCATCTCAGGTCAAACACAGATGTGACTGACAGCCAGATCTCGACAGGAGCTTCCTAAGTATCAGCCTGGAAGCAAAAGATGGGACATCCACCCACAACGTGGTCCTTGGCTCCAAGACAGCTCCCGAGCAAGGCGAAATACATCGGCAACATTTGAGGCTTTTGGTTTTGCCGACCAAGCACTCGAGGAAGGCTTGGAGAATAAACGCCTCAACAGCAACCCAAGATCTCAAATAGCAACAGCCTCGGAGAGGCGGGGAGTTGCTCTCTGGGATAATCTGTGCTGCGGCGATGAAGAAACATGGCTGAGAGGCCATGCGTGGACGCATTAGCGAGGGTGAAACTGCAATTCCGCACATCAAAAGCAATTGAATATTCAACACCAGGGAATCTGGTCCAAGCCAACTCACTCAGAAGCTCATGAAACAGAATCAAAATGCAACTGGTGAGGAGCCAGGCAACACCCATCCGAGTTCCCGGACGAATGGCATCCTGCATCCTTCATTTCGCAGTGCGCTTGTTGCACTGTGAGCTCGCTGCCGAAACAATTCCTCTCAGATGCCGAGCAAGTAAGCAGACAAACTGTGAGAAAAACTGTGAATCGGACCTAAGTAGCTCTCACTGGCCGATCCCATTCATGGATTGGTGGCATGTTGAACAGGCGAGTTATCCCGTTTCAGCAGCCCTGCACCGAATTGCTATCGTGTCGTGGGCTCGGCCCGGCGTCGCAGGAGGGCATGCAACCGCTGGACGTCGTCCATCTCACGCTGGACCACCTGCCCAGCGCGAGTCAACTTCGGCTTTGACCTTTGAACAGCCTGATCTACTTTCATGCTGTGCCCAGACACTTCCCGCGCGTAATCCATGCAAAGAGTGTCCGCATGGGTTTTCTTCGTGGCACTGCAAAAAAGGGCCCCTGCAACTCCACGCGACACACACACACACACACACACACTCTGCGCTGTGCCTGTGTCTCAAAATACCCATCCGGGTCACCCTGTAAAACAAAGAAAACACAACACAAAATCAATACAGATCCCCAGTCCAGTCTTCTGGCATGGGATATGCAATGCTTTTGTTCAGAAGGCATGGCAATGAGCACACTGACCTTCAGGAGGAAGATGCCTTGTGTGCCACCCTCTTCGCAAAGAACACACAAAAAAGCCCCGCCCACAGACACACGCAAACACACACTCACAAGAATCAGTCTCACCCGAACCCGCAAACCCATCCATCTCTCTGGGACTCTCGTTTACTGGTAACGACTTTCGAATTTCATGCCTGCGAACGCCGACGTCGCTCCTCGGCCTCACACACGGGGCGACCTCTCCATCTGTGAAAGGACAATGGTTGGGGACCCATCCGCGGGTTTGACTTTGGTTGAGCTCTTCCTAGTGGCAAGCCTGAACCTTGAGCATGCCTGTGAGAGAAAGGGTCGAGATTTAATTTTGGATTTTTATATATTATATTTTAGGATTTTTTTGGTTTTCCGTCCTGGCTACTAAAATGCTGTAATTTACAGCATTTTCTCGCGAAATGTGCGTATTTTACGCGTCCGTCAACATCATCAGCATCGTGTTCAACATCCCCCGCATGTCCAGCCAACATCCCCAGCATCACCAGCAAATTGGCTTCCCGCATCTCATAGTAAAAGTGAGGATTCGATTAAAGGCGCGGGGGGGTTGGGGGGGGGGGCGGCAGCCCCCCTTGGAGGGGGCGGCAGCCCCCCCATGATGATCAAAAAATTAGGGGCAAAGAATCTAAAAAGTAGCGGTCGCATGATGATCGAAAAAGTCATGATTCAATTAGGGGCCAAAAGTCCAAAAATAGCGGGGGGGTTGGGGGGGGCTGCCGCCCCCCCATGATGATGATGGAAAAAGTGATGATTCAATTAAAGGCGCGGGGGGTTGGGGGGGGCGGCAGCCCCCCCCATGATGATCGATTCAATCAGGGGCAAAAAGTCTAAAAAATAGCGGGGGGGTTGGGGGGGGCGGCAGCCCCCCCATGATGATCGAACAATTTGGGGCAAAGAATATACAAAGTAGCGGTCGCATGATGATCGAAAAGTGATGATTCAATTAAGGGCAAAAAGTCCAAAAATGGCGGGGGGGTTGGGGGGCCGCCCCCCCCCCACGATGATTGAAAAGTGATGATTCAATTAGGGCCAAAAAAATATTAAACAAGCAGCGGGGGTCATCAGTTCCTCTGCGGCAAGGCCTCATGGTACAAGTGAGGAGAATAGCGGGGGGGTTGGGGGGGCGGCAGCCCCCCCATGATGATTGAAAAAGTGATGATTCAATTAGGGCCAAAAACATATTAAACAGCTGCGGGGGGGTCATCAGTTCCTCTGCGGCAAGGCCTCATGGTACAAGTGAGGATTCAATCACGGGCAAACTAACCCCTGTAAAACACCTAAAACGTAGCGGGGGGGGGGGGGGGGGGGCGGGGGCGGCAATTCCCCCCATGATGGCGGTCGCATGATGATCGAAAAAGTGATGATTCAATTAGGGGCAAAAAGTCGGGGGGATGATGATTGAAAAAAGTGATGATTCAATGGGCAGAAATAAAACAAAGCAGCGGGGGCATCAGTGCCTCTGCGCCAAGGCCTCATGGTAAAAGTGAGGATTCAAATACGGGCAAACTAATCCCTGTAAAACGGCAGCCAAAGAATCTAAAAGCAGCTGTCGCATGATGATCCAATTAGGCGTGTATTTTAATCGAAAGGGGGGTGGCGGGGGGGCACCAGAGAGGAACTTGCGATGCTGAGGATGCAGGAAGCCAAGGCCAAGAACCAACTGGGAAAGCAGAAGATGCGAAAAGCCAAAGCCAGAAAGCCGCCAAAAGCCACAAAGCCAAAAATGCCAGCGGAAAACTGGCAATGCAGAGGATGCGAAAGAGAGGAACTGTGAATGCAGAGGATGCGAAATGAAAAGCCACACAAGCCACAAAAACCCACGTAAAAGCCACAAAAGCCAAAAAGCCGAAAAGCCACCCACCCTGAAAAACAAAATAATTAAAAAAAAAAACCTTAAAAAAATGGCCCTCCTGAGAGAAATGGCGTCATGCCACTTCCAATGCGCCAAGCCCATTTGCCAGAACGAATCAGGTGTCCATCCACCACTTGGGTGCAACTCAGCCAACTTCAACCATGGCTGTCAATGTCATTCAACAGCCCTGCTGAAAAACGAGGCGAACACGTGCCACGCGGATGCCAGAAACGCTCCAAACTTCCAATGTTTTGCAAGATGTTGGGTCCTGTCAAGATTCCTCCACCCAGAAAAGAGCAAAGGGACTGCAAGCCCTCAAGGTCAAGGAGCGAAAATTGCTGGACGCCCCTCCAGCCTCCAGCCGAACGCCAAAAAGGGAACTTCAGCGCCAAATCCTTTGGAAAAACCTTTCTGCGTAGCTCTCACGTCAAGGCCTTGGCCTCCCCACCAGCTCTGCCGTGACCACCGAGCGCTGCCCCGCGGCGTTCGCCCCGCGCCGGGCTTCCGCCTGAGCCACAAGCGACGTGGGTCCGGGCATTGGCCGCTGGCTGTGAGCCGCCATCACCCCGGGCCAAGCATTTTGCCAATGCTCAGCAGGTGGCTTCCTTGCCAAAAATATGCCCAAAAGGTGCCCCCTGCTTCGACACATACCTGTACACCCGACAGAACCTGGCCATGCGCACCTGAGACCTGCTTGGTTCTTCTTGTCGTTCAAGGCAACAATCCCCAATGCTGCCAAACACCTCTGATCGTTCTGCCTTTGGGGATGCCCTGTGTTGCGACAAATTCCGATTGCCGTTGCATGGTTTGTACGGGATCAAACAGGGACTGGTGGGGACTCAGCCTGCCCAGTCGAACCAGGAAACACGCACTCTGAGAACGTTCCGGGGAACGGGTGATGCGAATGGGACCATACTAATCAGGAAGGCGCCCACTCCTGATTGATCAGGAGGGTTTGATTCATTCGAAGCGCACGGCATCCGTATATTCTGGGTGCAGACCCATTCAGAGTTCCCGTTGCGGCCACCCGCCCCATTTGGGCCCTAGTCCACTCTTGGGCATTTTGGACGTGATCAGCCCGCCCCCGCTCATTTTGGTCGTAGTGTCCAAATCATGTTTGTCCTAGCTTGTTTCTCATGTTGATCGTAGTTCCAAAACCTGGCAACAACATGTTGGACCGGCCTAGTAGGACCGAAACGAGTCGAAAACTGAGACCAAAACGATGCCACGCCCTCCAGATGTGAGCATCTTTGTCAGTTTGATGCCATGTCGCCATTGTGCTAGCAGGGGTTGGGGGGGGGGGTGGAAGACAACGGTCGGAGTCATGCACGCACGCGCGCAAACATACACCTTCGCGCGCGCACTCGCTCACAGGTGCCCTCGCCGTCTTATCTGGGTCTCAGGTGTGATTGTGCGCACACATATACAAACACTGGCGCACAGGGTTGGGAAGGCTCTGGGAGTTTTGAAGTTAACTGGGGCCTCTGGGCACACCTTGCCTTCTTTAGCAGATGCACCCCACAGTTTTGAAGCACGGGTTAGAGCAGTCCCCCGCGGAAAAGACTGCGTCAGTGGCCGTCGTCGTCTGTCGAGGGCTGAGCTGCGGTTCTTCTCCTCGAGCAGCGTTTGCTCATGCCCGGAGACACAAGCGAGATCCCCTGGGGAAGCCATCGCCAGTCCCTCTGCTGCTCCTGGCAGAGCTGCGCTGGCGAGGCCCAGCAGAGCTGCTCAACGGTCACTTCCTGCCGCTGACGGAGCGGCACGGCCCGTTCACGGTCTTACCGTTTCTGTGGCCATCAACTGACGGCTGAGGCGACTTACCACGAGGCTGTAACTTCGGCTGCCGGAATGGCGACAGCCAAAAGTCCCGTGCTTTGTTTGCACT